GAAGTAGTGTGAGCTTGGATGAGATGTCTCTCTTCAGTCCCACCAAGGGACCTGGCTGTAAGATGTCAGTCATCAGTGCCTACATCTGATGAATGGGTACCTGGGGAATGAGTGTTTGAGTCCTGATGAGGAAGGGGATGTGGGTGGTACATCAAAGCACACACTGAATTTTCACTGGCTGTAAAGAAAAGATCTGAAATAAAACCCTTATGGCTTGAGCGCACAAGCCCATTCTGTAGAATAGCTCCAGAAACAGCCAGGATTCCTCTCGTACATGCCGTCACCTTTCGTGACTTGCTGGGAAAGAGTAGATGGAGATCAGAAATAGTCTCTTCCTCTCATCTAGTTGGTATGCTACTGGCTCTTCAGAAAAGGTCTTTCATTTATGTCTCAGTATGGATACTGGTAACTTTTTAAAATTTGATTCTTTCGAGACACAGTATGGGAGGGACAAGAGAGCAGAAGTCACCACTTCTATTCCCTTCTCTCCTATGTCTATTCTGCCTCTATGCTTTCATTTATTAGGGGGAAAGAATAGAACCAAGCAGCTGGAAGCCTTTCTCCCCTGGTGTAAAAGGAATCATATATATGTATGCATATGTACAATTATATATATTTTTAAATTTGTTTTGGGGCCACACCCAGCAATGCTCAGGGTTCACTATTGGCTCTGTGCTCAGGAATCACTCCTGGTAGTGCTGGGATTCAAACCTGGACTTGGTTCTACAATAAAAGTGCCTTTACCTCTATCCTACACTGTTCCTGAGGCTTTTGGAATCCTCAAATTTATAAATATATACACCTCTGCCTTGATCACTCAGTCTGTTTCTACTTCTCCTGGTACTCATGCCTGTGGTTAATTTCTGCCTTGCGCCTGCCACTTGGTCTCATTCTATTGGCAAAACAAGTCACAGGCCTAACCTGGAGAAGGCCTGGAAGCTGTTGTATTTGTGGGGACCCTAAGCCGGCTGGACAGAACTCCTAGAGGGGCTCCCTGGAGAGGAAGGATCCTAGAATCTACACAGAAAGAGACAAAAACTCAGCAAGTTCAGCATCCCCAAGACATGCCCAGTTGGGCACACCCCAGACTTCAGAATCTTAAACCAATAGACTGGCTGTTGTTTTCTAAGCCAGTATGTCTTAGGGTGGTTTCTTATGCAATAATAGACAAAACCACCCCAACTAGCAATTACCTCAAGAGTCATGTAACTGCCAGCTCTGGACCGCCCCCACCAACTCAACTGCCTTTCTGCCTTTTAACCTTGTGCTGAAGAATCCTTCCTCATTTGATAGCTGCTTCTAACAAGGAAACAAACATCATGATTACTTCACAATAGTTACTGCCTAGCCAGATAAGTGGACCAAAAATCTTTAAAGGGGAAAAATGGCCTTAGATTGGCTGTGGAAGCTAGACCTTTAGGACTGGGCTTTCTCACTAGCAGAGTAGCTCAAGGCTATGTATCAATTTCATAGTTTGGGGCTCAAATGACTCTTGTCATAGGCCTTCAAGGCTACTCACTAAAAGAAGAAACTTAGAAGATTAAATCCTAGGCATCAGAATCTGCACTGATTGGACACTTCTGAGAGCGCTGGAAGACATGATGGACTAAGATGATCCAGGACTAGATCACCCCAAATCAAACCTTAGATCTGTCACTTGTTAGCCATAAAACCATAGTGCTTTAGCAACCCTATCTATAAAGGCATATAGTTCCTACCACCCATCATTATTGTGGGGAGTAAATGAGTTAATATCTACATAGGGCATAGACCAATGCCTGGTTATTCTGGGCCTGACTATAAATTCTTCTATCAGAAGAACTTGTTTGTGTGTGTGGATTTGCACTGATTTATAATAATATGAATGATGATTTTAGTGATTATAAAATGAAAGGCAGTGTATATTATGTTCTCTGAAAAAAATCATCATGTATAGAACACACACACACACACACATATATATATATATTCATTATATACATATATCTGATTCCAGGCCTGATGTATGCTGTGTCACACTGGGCAAGTCTTAGAGAACAAAGGAATAAAGACAACGATCTTGCCTAAGGAGGCTAGACCAGATGGTCCCTCTAGGAGCCTTTTATGTCTGTATATCTTTCCAAGTCTCTGAGCAGTGGGCAGGCAGAATTACTACCACTTTAAGATGGAAAATGGTTATTTAGCAATGTGACTTGTCCAGAGCCAAACCCAAACCTCAAAGTGGAGCTAAAGGGTGGGAGGCTTCTTCCACGACAGGGAGCTTAATGGTCCTCACCCCGGCTACTTTTCCAGCTGCTTGCCAAGTGAGCTGTGTTCACACGGAACCTAGATGGGGACGAAGTGTGCCATTTCTGGGCCAATCCTCCACGTTCGCTCTTTCCTCTTCTGCTGACTTCATATAGAGGAATCCAGGAGGGAGACCGAGACCCGAGGGGGTGGAAGAGCCACAACATTTCTTGTCACCATAACTCAAACTTATTGAATAAGAAATAAAGCTATGACAATAGTTGAGCAGGGATCACTGACATCTCCTTTGTTAGGAGCAAAGTCAATGATGTCTTTATGAAATTGGAATCAAACCCATGATCTTCCCATCTACTCTTCTAAATGGGCCAAAGAATTAGCTACTGTTGCCTGGAGCCTTTTGGCTACTCCAAATCATCAGTAGCCTAGTAGCCTTGTATCTCCTCCAAGGAACAAGAAGATGAAGGAGATTATAAAGCTAAACAAGCTAGCAATCGTTTCTGACAGCTCTACCAGAAGACAGGGGGAATGACAGACCTCTCTCTCTCTGTCTCTGTCTCTGTCTCTGTCTCTCTCTCTCTCTCTCTCTCTCTCTCATTGCTTTCTCTATCCTGATCTCTTCCTTCCCCAATCAAACTCACTATCTTATTTGACCAGTTTTAAGAGCTATAAAAAAGAAAACTGTCCAAATCAAAATTCACTCTGAAAGCCGGGTAGGTTTTATCTCGAATGAGATCTACGGGTGAGGATTCACACCTTCCCAGGCAAATTCCACTACTCTTTAGCTTATTTCCTTCTCTGTAGGAAAAAAATAGGAGTTTACATGGTTTTTAGCAATTACTAATGATTTTCTTGCAAATAGCAATAACAACAAGCAAATCAGAAACAGAGGGAGCCTTTCCCCCTTCAAGTCGGATTCCACTAGCAAAGAAAAAGTGACTGTAGGGAAGAGCAGGCTTTTGAAAAGAAAATAATGGGAGAAGCCAGGCCGGCTGGCAGGAACCAGCAGGAGAGACTGGGGCTCCCAACAGTCACTGTGATCCTGGACAGTCCTCAGGCCCCTTCTGACTGCACCTCGTTTGGTACCTTCCCCGTCAGACACACTGGTTACCCCTCATTTACCGGAGGAGATTCCTCACGCAACTGGCCAAGGGTTTCCAACTGAAAAGACAAGAGTGGCACCCCAGCTGCCGTCTGCACCCCAGGAAACTGACATGATGTCAGTGCCGCCTGCTGCCTCTGGCCCTCCGTATTCCGGGCCATACTCCTCTGGGGGAGTGGTCTGCTGGCCCCTGAAGCACAGAGGCGGAAGCCCCAGATAGATGGCTGGGTGGGACTCAGTGAATGTAAAGCTGCAGGTTCCCCGTGGCTGGGGGTGGGGAAGGGGTCTCTCTCCCGGCTCCCATCCCCCAATCTTGCAGCCTGACTGCTCTGGGCCTCACACAAGAACAGAGAGCCCAGCGCCCCCCCCACCCCCACCAGCCCCGCACCCTCATTGGCCTGCCTGGAGACTGCACTGCTCTGAAGGGTCCCGGCCCGGGCGCAGGCCGGGGATGGGTGGGTCTGGGGGAGGCCCGCTGAGCTGCAGTGAAGGGAGACCCCGTCCCTGTAATAGTGGGGTCAAGCCAAGCCGCATCTCCAGCCGCAGGGCTATTTTTAGACGCTGTTATCTTTGCCTTGCTCACACGCAGCTGTGAAAAAACAAACTGGTGACCAGGAGGCACCGCACTGCAAAATGACAACCTCCGAATGCAAGAGTTCCCAAACTCCAGAGCCGGCCAGAAAGAAAGGGCCAAACCCTGGCCCCATCGGGCGCGCGTCCCCTCCCCCCAGCCACGGGCCCTCAGGTGCGGTTTGGCCCTTTCACTGACCACACCGTCTGGGCTGGCATGCCTCGGCCCAGGGCAGCTCTACCCCCTCCCCCCTCCCTGGCACGCCGCGCCCACCCTACCGCCGACACGCACCGAGGGGGACCTAGTGGACAGGTGTGCCAAGGAAGCAGACTCGAGGGGGTTAACACTGCCACAAAAGGCAAAGCTCCCGCTCCCTCGCCTCCCCCAGCTCATCGGAACAGTCGGTTCTCTCACAGCATCAAGCCTGCTCCATGGCCGAGCGAGGGCTGCACAGGCAGATGTCACCCCACACCGAGTGGCAGGGCAGGAAAAGAGGAGAAGGCTCCGAGCGAGCGACACCCCCCCCGGCCACTTGTCCCCCAAGGCCGAGCCTCGGGGCGCCCTCCCACTCGCAGCCTCCTCGAGGTGCCCGGCGCCCCTGCGGGGAGCCTCGTCCGAGGGGGGCTGCAGGGTTGCAGCGCGTGCTGCGACCCTCCCGCGGGTAAGGGCCTGGGCAGCCCCGAGGAAAAGTGGCGCCCCGCCCCAGAACCCGGGAATGGGGGCTGGGGAGGAGGCGGCAAACTTCAAAGCTGCAGCTGCAATATGCTTTGAAAAATCAATCAAGGACCCCCGAACGCCAGAGCTGCTCCCTTCGGCCCTGGGCGCTCTGCGCGGTGCACCTAGACCGCTAGCTCACCCCCGCCCAGCCCCGCTCAGGGGACCGGCTCCGAGACCTCATCGGGGACCGGGGGCGGGGTGGGGGGGATTTCCTCTCCGGCCAGCGCGCGGCAGGGCTGCGGCTCCTCCGTTCTCCGTCCCCCAAGTTCACCCACCACCCCGAGGTGCGGAAAATGAGTTTCAAACCATGTCACCCACCCCCCGGACCCCCGCGCCATCCCCCAGTGGGTCCCATCTCACACACACCCGCGTGGCCTGGGCTGCGAGTCGCCGAGCATCCCGGGGGGTTGCGGTGGGGCGCCGCGCCGAGGCTGGCTTCCCCGGGCGCCCGCTCCGGCTCGGGTTCGGCCCTGGGCAGTCCGGCCGCGCATCGTTCCCCGGGTGCGGAGATCCTACCGCCCGTGCGCCCTGGGCGCGCCGCCGGGCCCCGCGCCGGCTCCCCGGGAATGCGGCCGTCAGGTGAGGTAGGCATGCGTGCCGGCTCCGCAGCGAAGCAGCAGCTGGCTGGGGCGCCGGGCTCGGGATCTGCCTCTTCTCCCTCTCCCCGCCGAGGAGAGGCCTCTCGGGGCTTTCCAGCGCCTTGTTGCGTTAGGACCGCATTCCCCCTTCCTTCTCCCTTTTATGTGAGTTTCTCCTTCAGCTGCAAAAAGGGAGATCACGGGAGTCCATGCCCAGCTCCAACCTAACTCAGTCCACAGGCAGGCAGAGAATTATGAATGGATGCTGCCTTCCGATGAGGAAGTCGACTGGGGAGGTCTCTGCGCACGGCGCTCTCCATCAAAGCCGGGGCATTGGCCCCTCCACTGCTTCAGTGCTGCAGGCTGAGACACCTAATTGACCACTGGGAAATCAGGTGCCGGGAGACCTGGGCGGGACGTAGCCCTGGAGCCACGCTGGGATCGAGCGCCTTGCCGGTGCAGACAGCTTCGATTTACAGCCCAGTGAATGGAGGGGACTGCGGCAGCCAAACCTCCCGGGCAGCAGGCACGGTTGCACCAACGCTCTGCAGACAGCCGCCCGGCTCCGCGAACATCTCCCGGCTCCGCTGGGCTACAGGGAACCTGCTAAAAATAATCCGTCCCCTGTCGCCAGCCGCAGTGAGCTGCAGGACTCAGCCCCCGGCACCAAACTCGGTGGCGCGCGGGGAGCCGGCCACAAGGCGGGCCCGGTGCGCTCGGCTAGAGCCGGGGCTGCGGAGGATGCGAGCTCCGGATTTCTAGTACCTGTGCGTTTCCTTCTCCCGTCGCGCGACCGCCTATGCTGCGCGTTACCCATGCCCCGAGTGGTGGCGGGCTGGGCACATCACCAACAGGCTGGACAGACCGCGGCTGCTCAGCACCGCACCCCTGTGGCTCCCTCTCACCTCCCCTGTCCCCAGCCCCCGACCAGCAGCCGCGGAATCAGAGATGCCACCGCGCCAACTCCCGCAGCCCCAGCAAGGAGGTGGCGGGGGAGGAGGGGGGACTCGGATGGGGCAAGTGCCCGCGAGTTTCAGGAATAGCGAGGTCCGAAAAATGGAATCTCGCGTCCCCTCCCCCTCTTCATCTCTGGACGCCCAAAGCTCGCGTCCTAGACACAACTCGCCCTGCCCAGGCTTCCAAACACTGCAGAGACAATGCACTCATCTTTAGGGACGGCGCGTTTACTACACCAGCTCGGAGGTTGAACCGGGGTGAAAAAGCCTGGCAGCCGTGTGTAAGCCCGAGTGTGGAGGCTGGCAGGTGCTATATCTAAAACAGCCGCCTGCAGAAGACAGACAGCCATTTAGGGCCACTTAAAACACAGCACTTAAGGGCTACAGCCCCATCTATAACAACAGGAAATCCAGGAAATGAAATTATCCAGAAGATGCCTTGTGGGAATCCCAGGTTTTGGTCATCCGTCTTGATGCCTTGGAAATCCACTGAGGGCGATCTTGAATTTTCCGACCCCCTATTTTCAAACAGGGAGGTTTCTGCCCTGGGTGGCTTTGCATGTGTGCCCAGTACTGTATAGATGAAGCCTCCAACTCCTCCCTAATTCACAAATTGTGGTGAATCGCTCCACTTGCCAAGGTCACAAGAAATCACTGGGTTTGCACAAGCAGCGAGAGGCAGAATTTCCTAATTGGCAGTACTATGAATTATGATTGTGGTCACATGAAATAACACATTGAACCCAAGTTAGTCAAGGTTGGCTGCTCCCCAACCAGACTCACCCCAACCTCCCCAGAGAGTTGCCAGGCCACTGCTGAATGGAGACCCTCGGGGACGTTGTGGCTAGAAGAGGATGGAGGAGCAGGAGGAGGGGGCAAGGTCCCCACTCCACTCCAGACCGGATGAGAAGAGAACTATGAACCCCAAAGCTTCAGGGGTGGGGAGGCAAAGGAAGAGAATGCACTGGAGAGGAGAGATCCCTGCGTCAGAGAAACAGGAGCTCAGGAGGGAAGGGGGGAGGGTCAGCTCAGAAACCAGAAGGAACAAAAGGGATTCAAGAAGGAAGAGCAGGATCAAGAATGTGAGCAAGGTCAGTAGGACCAGTTCTGCTAACCATGGGTAGACCTGGGCCCCTAGGCCTTATCGAGTGGACACTGATGGCACAGAGCTTCGATAAAGAGAGGGTTTGCCTTGATTTCCCTCATCAAAGGACCAGCTGCACCAACTCCGTGCTGGCAGTGTTAGAGGTGTGCATGCATTCTCAGGACCATCACACCTGCCAAAGCAGACATGGGCGGACGCCTGGCCATCTGTGTGTTCACACACTTCCAGACTGATTTCACATGGGCACCCAAATCCCACCATGCGGGAACCCAACCTGCACGGGCCTTGAAATGAGAGTTTATGTTCAGGGAAGAAAATGGCTGCCTTGTACAAGGAACTGAAGCAAGATGGCAGGGAGCAGGGGTCCGGCACAAATCATACATCCTATAGAGAATGGCTGAGCTGCTCTGAGTTTTCAGAGTTGCCCTACGAAGGGAGTGCTTGGATGGGCAAGGAGTCCCTGAGAACTCCAAATAGCAGGGACAGTGGCCAATGCCTTCTCTTTGCACTGAGAGTGCAGTAATGAGGCTGGGGTTAACAATGACGATGAAATGGCCATGGACCCAGATTGCTGATTATTTGGATTACACTTTAGCCAGCACCATGGTGTAGAGAGAGGGGCTTCTGTTTGAATTCTGCCTCCTCTATGTCTTAGCAGGGTGGCCTTGGGGATATAATTTGACTTCTCTGAACCTTGGTTTCCTCATAGGTAGTTGATGCAATCAGGCTATCAAATGTATAGAGTTGTTGGGGGGCCACATAAAATAGTACCCAGTACCATGATGTAGGGCTGGAGCGATAGCACAGTGGGTAGGGCGTTTGCCTTGCATGCAGCCAACATGGCTGAACTGAGTTCGATTCCTCCACCCCTCTCGGAGAGCCCGGCAAGCTACCAAGAGTATTTCGCCCGCACGGCAAAGCCTGGCAAGCTCCCCATGACTTATTCCATATGCCAAACACAGTAACAAGTCTCACAATGTTACTGGGCCCGCTTGAGCAAATCGAGCAACAACAGGAGGACAGTGACAGTGACAGTGACCATGACGTAACAGCACATAATGGAAGCCCAATAAAAGGAGAGCGTTATGAATGGTGGCTGGCATCTTCACGTGTATGCCTACATTTTAGTTCAGACGTCCCATTCCCTACTACAGCGACAGTGCCAGCTGCTTCCAATGGCTTAATGCTGATGATGTGCCACCTGATCCCTCAAGCACTGTTAAGTGCAGCCCTGGAGGCCCCTTGAACACCACCAGGGGGACCTGGGTAATCATTGGCAATTCAGGTCCTGGCAGCAGGGCATGCTGGCGTTGAACCATAGACCCAGTTGGGGGAGCGTCTCTAGCAGGGGCCCCAGGCCTCCCGAGCGCTTCTTGGAAGGTTCAAAAAGAAAATCAATTCCTTATGAGTTATTATCAGAAAATATACTTGATCTGTGTCCCTATTTTCGATACCTCTTTATATACCCGAGGTTGCAGACCAAAGTTCATGAGTGGGAAAAGTTTCAGAAACAGTGCTCTAGTTTAGGGATCAATCTCCTCCACCATGGACAGAGATGATTTAGAGCAGGGAGCAGGAAATGTGTCCTGAAAAGGGCCAGATAATACATATTTTAGGCATTGTAGATTAGGCTCTATTGTAGCTCTTCTGCTTTGCCTTGGTAGTGCGAAAACAGTCATCGGTAAGGTGTAACTGAATGGATGCGGCTGTCTTCTAATAAAAATTTATCCACAAAAACAGGCTGTGGGGATTAAGTTAGCCCACAAATCAGTTTGCCAATCACCTATGACTTGGGACGCATCTATTTTCTTAAGTATTTTGGAAAATGAAGATGTCTACATAGGCGTTTTTCTATATCATTAAAGCTTATCTAGTTACAGCAGTTTTCTGAAGCCTTCATTTCAAAGGCTTCCCCTTTAAAAAACCAGCTAGTTTTTTTTTTTAAGATAGTTCCACCAAATTATCTCCCTCTTTCTCCTACAGCCACCCTCCCTTGCAGGGTTAGGTTCAGCCATTCTGTGCTTCAGTCAGTAGAATGGGGGCAGAGATTTGTGCCTCCAGGTCTGACCCATTTAAAAACTCCTACCCATCCCTACACCCTCCCTTTTTTCCCCTTTGTCTGAACATGGAGGGTCTAGAAGTGGTGGGAGTCCAAAGGGGAAGGAGCCTGGGTACTCAGATGATTCTGCTGACCTGCATTAAATGGCAATGTAAAGGAGAAATAAACCACTGAGATGTTGGAGGTTTTATTACCAGAATTAGCCTACCTTGAACAATTCACTTTCCTATCTCTTTAATCAGATGATACAAAACACAATTTAATGCTTTGCTGATTACTTAGGGTCTTTATTAAGAAGGCTTATTATTGGTTTCTATGGCAACAATTTTCAAAGACTCGTTTTTAGGTTTCCAACTCTTTCCTTGATATTTAGTTCTCTACTCTCATTTGTCTCTCATTTGTCTCTCTCCCCAGTAGGCTGAGGAAAGGAGTCACCTATGGCTGGGTAACATCTGTCCATTAAAAAGCAGTTACTAATGGTCTGAGCAAGGATCTAAGTAAGAAAGAACATGGGCTTGCTAACCACAATTTGCAGCCTTGGGAAGTTCCGTCCACTTATTTTCAGGCTTCACGCTGTGTTGCAGAGAACTGAAGTTACCGGAATCTCAGCATCTCTGAGAAAAATGGGACATTTTGGTATTATCTAGCTGACACCTTTTCAAAGCTTTCATTTGTCTACTAGGCATTTTGTAGAATCCATACTAAAAGTTCCAGTTCTATCCCTTGAACTTGATGAGCTATTCAGCTCTCTAAATGCTTCTTGATTTTCTACACATAGGTTATATGGCCCCAAATCTGTTTTTCAGAGAGGCTACCACCATAGTGTTCAGGGGCCCCAGAGCCCCTAGAAATGCTGAGGTTGGTGCTGAGGCTACAGGTGTCAAAGCTCTCAGGCTCAGCAATGATAGGGGGGACCGAGGCTACACCCAGTGGTGCTGGCAGGGTACCACGTAGTGTTGGGCCTCAAACTCAGGGCTTTGATTGTGCTCTACCACTTGACCTAGCTCCCAGCCACACCCAAATTAAATTAATTATATTAATTGGGGTGAGCATACCTGGCAGTGCTCAGAGCTTACTCCTGCCTCTGCACTCAGGAACCACTCCTGACAACTTGAGAGACCATCTGGGGAGCCCTGAATCAAACTCAGGTAGGCTGTGTGCAAGGCAACTTTAATTATACCAGATAATAAAAAATAAATATAAAAAATAAATACATCTGAACTGTTATACTATCTCTCCAGCCTCAACCCCAATCAATTTTAAACTCATCTGTTCTGCTTAATTATTTGTCGACACCAAAAGATCTTGGTTGACACCTATCTTATTGAAGATGGAATGACTGACTCAAAACGTTTACATAATTGTATTCTCATTCCCGAAGTGGTATGTGTATATATATATATATAATACACGGTATATATATTATATATTTTACTGGCGCCCACTTGAGCAAATCGACGATTAACAGGAAGTCAAGTGATCAAGTAATCAAGTGATGGTATATATTAGAGATATCTTTTAATTTGTGTATATATAAATGTACATACCTTATATATGTATATTGTAGATGTGTAGATGTATATACATATACAATTGTATTGTGTATATATATATGTACTTATATATGTATTATATATGTATATAATATATACATGTTAGCATGCCAGAGTCTCGTTCGTTATCGGAATTAACCAGACAAATCGCTCCACCAACTAAGAACGGCCATGCACCACCACCCAC